AATAATAATAATAATAACAATAAATGCAGTTTAAAATGGTAATGAAATACAAAAATCTAAAGATCCTCACAGAAACTATTTAAATTGTGGAGAAAAACTTGTTCAGAGCTAACTTAATTGATTTGTCATTTGTATACTCACATTTCTATTGATACTCCTCTTGCTTAATTCTCCTGATTTCCACACAAACGAGTTCAGTTCACATTTTGGTGACGAATAAACTTCCAAATAAAATTGCAAACATATGGCTTGAAAAGGGGAGATAAAAAAAATAAACAATTTCTTAAAATGAGGCAATTTTGTTTATTGGATACTTCACAAAACCAATTCATATTATTTCTCCTATGCACCAAACAAAATTGTAGTGTAAGGCCAAGTATTGAATAATAAACCATTCTTGCATTCTACCAACAAGTAAAAGATCTTTCATACCATGTAAAAAATAAAATTTTTTGTCTGTACATTCTTGAATAGGGTTTGATTTGTTAACACAATTTTTGGCCTTACATATAGTAATAAATACAATATAAAGTAGCAAATACTGTATCATTTAAAACTAAAGTTAACTAATACTGGAAAGAGCCAGTCATGTGAAACCCTGAGTTCATTCGGTGATTTAAGTAACTGTTAATTAAAAGGTAGTAGTTAATCAGCTTCATAGAAAAAATAAAAGATTCAAATCATACTTTATCTAATATGTAAAACAATCATAATTTAATGAAGAGTAGTCAATATCATTATTATGATAGATACAGATATAAAAAACAGCACTGAAAACATTGATATGAACGTACCTGAGTATAATTATTTCACATAAGATTTTTTCTTTAATAAATAATACATTGTTTGTTTACAAAATAGGCATTTTAGTAATATTTATTTTCTACTTAGGTCTGTTTCTCATACTTGAAAAATAAATCCTTGAATAATTGAATACAAAATTTGTGCTTTCTACTTATTAAAGAAAATGAGACAAAATACCTGATAAAGTTTTTTTTCTTCTTAGAAATTCTAGTAACGTTTCTGTAAATGAAACTGCCAAAAAGTGTTGCAAGAGGAATGAAATGAAATTCTTTACTTCTTACACATGCCACAATATCTTTCTACATGAACATTCATAGTTTTTTGTCCATCAACAAGAAATCTCTTAACTTATAATACTCAAATGGAATTGGAAACAATGAAGAGATTATAAACATCATATTATTTCCTTGATTGTAATATGTGGCATTCTTCCTTAGTTTCATTCCATCTGCAACACACTGTATTGTGGCTCTTCCCATTCACATTCAAAACTATATAGTTCATGCAATCTGAAAACATTGGTTGTGAACAACATGAAGAATACAAATTTCTGAATACTCACGGTTAATTCATAACAAAACACGAAATTAAGTGTAGCCTTGTTATTTACAAATTAACATCAATTGTTAAATATTTGTACAGTGTATTTATACTATTTACAAATTAAAGTACATTAATTACTCAACAGTTTTTACACAACTTAAAAAAAATAAATAAGAACTTTGTATTTCTTTTACCCTTTCAAACGTTCCATATTGTAGTGCTTTGTTAGCTTGATGAAATCATTGCTATAATGTGTTGAGCAATCTCTGCAAGAGGGGAGGGGGGTGGCTCCATGGTTCACACTTAGCCGTACTCTCAATGTTGCTGTAAGAAAAATAGGCTATCTAAAGAAGATATAAGAGCTGTTTAAAGTATTGTTTATTTTCTTTCTTCCAACTGTCTGAACTTCTGAAGATTTTTGGGAACACTGAATTATTTATGTAGATTATCACTGCGTTAAGAAAAAGGTGTTTGTATGTTTGTGATACTGAAGTCACTCACCACACACAAATTAATGGTAAAATCACAGTTCTTCCTTGTCTTTCCCAGTCTTGTTCATCCATGTTATCTTACAACTTTCACCAACATTACTGTTCAATACTTCTTATATAAAAGTTACTTCAAGTAGAAAATAAACCAATACTGAAGAACACCAATAGGTTCTGAATACTTAAATAGAAATGGTACTTGATATCCTGTTTCAAAGGAAATGAGAGTACCGAGGCCTTATGACAAAAATAGTCTCTTATTAAAATAATTGAAAAATAACTGTCCAACTCAGTGTAGGAGAAACATTGCAACCATGAAACTAGCATAAAACTTCTCTTCCTGAATCTTGAATCACTCAATGTCCACAACTTGTTAGTATATAACTTCATACACTGTTGCTTTCTTGTCTCCAGAACCTGTTACGATGTACTTGTCATCTGCAGAGATATCACAGCTCAGCACAGATGAGGATTCTTTGGACTGCAAGAAAACAAAAGACTTTCTAAAGACAAAAATTTCCACAATGTTGAAAAAACAATGTAACTTGTATAGGAAAGATAACTGACAAAAACTCTCCCAAAGCCAACAGATTTTGTATTAATACAATAACATTAAGAAACACTTCTTTGTTTTTACTGATATATTTAATTTTTTAATGCAAAAATAATTTTAAAAAAATATTAAAGAAGTAACAAAACTGTCAAAAACATTAATGAATGACAAATTAATTAATGAAATAAGAATAAGATATTCAATACACTTGAAATAAATGCTCTATTTTATGGCAGTTTTGAAGTTTTCTGAAGAGAAATGATGGCTTTAAATAATAAATGTATGCACTAATAATTTTTTTTTTTTTTAACTTGTGATTTAAGATCATAGCTAATTCAAAATGTTAGGCATTTTGTATTTCAACTAAATTTTGTAACAAAAACAAGACAAAATTTCTGCGACAATAATTTTTAAAAAATATGTTTCCAGGTGTTAAATTCAAACAACAATATACTATAGTTCAAACACTGCCATTTCTTTGCAAAACATTGCTGAAGTAATTCCTAAATAACTATTTAAGTGTTAAGGCTACTTTTTATAAACCTAGTAGATTTTTGCCCTTACAATAAAGATGTCATTATATTATATTATATTAATTTGTATATTTTCAGACCAACCCATGAACATACAAAGACTAAAAAGATTTGTGAAATCCAATGGCAGTGGCAATTTAGTCAGTACATGCCAGCTATTATCAAATTAAATGGTTGATGACACATAATGACCAGCCTTGTAATTTAAAAATTTCACTAATACATTGTTCCAGTACTGGTTTTGAAGATTCTTTTATAGAACTAAATTGGTTTAATAGTTAACAAGAAAAATCATACAATACCACAAATTGAAAATATGGTCATCAAATTTAAATATAAGAGGAAACAAAACTATATTCACCATAAATCAAATGATTTTAAAATTAGCAAATGAAAATTCAGAGAAATAAACAACAAACCTGAAATATCGATGCACCATAAGGTGTTCTCCAAGCATTGAGCAAATTATCTTTGCCCGTTGAAACAAACCACTTTCCACAAGCAGCAAAACGAAGAGAAAGAACACAAGATTCATGCAGGTGCAGCTGATACTTATCTGGCTTGACTGCATGCAACACCTGAAACAAGAGAGAACCTTTATTTGGAAGAATCATTTCTCAAAACAAAAAAAACAACAACAGGGATTTACACATGAAGAATGTTAGTGATAACCTTTATGAAAGTAAAATAAAATGAACCTTGGATGTAGGCATAATAAAAATAGAGACCTATTATAATCTATGTAATATTTGTTGCACATCAAACCACCTTACTAAAAAGTTTTAACGATTTGAAAGTTTTACACAGGTTCCATCACTTTTCATACAAAGTGTCAACTTTAGTTAGTATTTTTATGAAGACATAAAACTTCATTCAACAAACATGTAAATCAAGGTACAGAAACAGGAATTTGTATAAAAGATCAACATAAAATAAGGACAAACACAAAATCATTGTTTTCTAACAATTGACATATTCATGTTTCTAATAGTAATAGTTTATAACCTGTTGAACTTTGTTAACACAGTGTTGTCCTCTTTTTGCCCAAGGGCTTTTATCCAGCCAAACCAGGGCTCCCCTTCATGTCCTGATATGATGCATATCCGATCATAAAACACCAACACTTTTATGGGCTCCTCTGATCTGGGGTCAGCAGAATACAAGGTCCACCGGAACAACACATACATGGGAGACAAGGGACATACCACCATGCCCAAGGTGGGTACTCGAACTCGCAACCCTTCGGACTGAAGTGTTGAGCTGGTTCATGCACTTAGCCTCTTTGGCCATCCAGGTCGGCAAGTTGATGTGTTGTGAATCAATAAAGTTTTTTTGAAAAATAGAAGAGAAATTGAGAGAGAGAAAGAAAGAGAGAGAGAAAGAAAGAGAAAGAAAAAGAAAGAAAGAGAGAGAGAAAGAAAGAGAAAGAAAAAGAAAGAAAGAGAGAGAGAAAGAAAGAGAGAGAATAAGAGATAGATAGAGGGGGGAGGGTCAGAATATTTGCTGATGATTGACAAGTTTCACAAACCTCAACATTCGAATTTTCCATTCCAACTGCAAGCCATTCGCCTGTTGGACAATAACCCAGTGAGAATATTTGCGAGGTGAAATCATGTTGCTGAAGTTGCCTGCCTTCTCTCAGATCCCATGACCGTACAGTATTATCAAGTCCACCTGTCCACAGTTTAGATCCATCAGCTGAGATGTCAATGCACGATGCTCCATCTGTGTGGCCTTGGAATTGACGGACCAATGTCTGATTATGCAGGTCCCAAACAGCAATATTTCCATCAGAACAGCAACTGAAGCACACCTGCAAAAATAAAATTAAAATAAATAATTATAAATTGAACATAACTTTTTTATCACAGTTCACCCTTTTTCTTTTGAGTAAGTACTGCAGAACAATGCAAATAAAAATAATTTAATACAATACAGAATGTTTTCTGTCTCTTACACAGTATCTCAAAGTTGAATTTTAAATAAGAAAGATATTTCATTCCAAAATTCGGTAGAAGAAAAAGGAAATGAGTGTTAAATACATCATCAAACTCTTTGAGTCATGGGCATTAGCAGCACCATATTTTGAGAGGAAGTTTCTGGTGATAAGGTGCAGATTACCAGGGAGTCTCAATATATCCCATATTCCGAAAAATGTTTGGCGGTCAAGTCCCCTTTATCACTTGGCAGTGATGCCCTTGCTTGGAGTATCTTGGAAAGTAAAAGTTGACACACTTCTTGATGATCAGAGATTTCAATAGAAAATCACCAGATCATTTATCTAAGTTTTCTTTACACTGAATACAAATAATAAAAAAAATTTAGTGTTTTGGAAAAATGCTATGAAAAGTTGGTTTATATGAAAGAAATTCAAATTTACTTGGTATATTTGACAATATTCTGAAAACTGAACAATTCAACAGTTTTTGTAAATGATACAATATCTTTTTTCCAGAAGTTTTGATGAACTTCTTCTGTATGAAAAGTTTTCAGTATTTTTCTCACCTTTGAATCTGGACTGATTGCTAAGGCATAGCAAGCAGGTGCATTTGATGTAAGTTCTGCTTTAATGCGAGGTGTGGGTGATGCTAAATCCCAGATGCTAAGGTTACTTGCTTCTCCACCAACAATGAGTGTCCTTCCATCAGGAAGAAGTTTTAGAGACCTAATGTAGTTGTCACGTTGCTGAAAAGATATTTGTATTAGTTTTAAAAGTGTACAAGCTAAATGAAATTACAATCTAAAGAAATTACTGAACGTATCTGAATCATGATGGACAATAATTGCAAAATAAATGTGTCCATCCAGAAACAAACTTTACAATCAAGATTTTGAGACAGATTAATTGAAATATTAATTTAAAATTGTTCTCTTTCACTGTTTTTTTTTTCATTTCACGACATTTCAGAACAGAAGGTAACACTTTCTGTTCAACTTTGCAAAATACTGACAAAAAAATTGCATGTGTAATACTAGAAAAAAGCATTTCTAAACTATGAATATGTTTACTTAAAATTTCAAATTTCATTGCAATAATGCATTTGTCCAATAATAAAATTATCATTGTTCAATAGGAAATGAAAATACTCAATACACATTTGAGAAGTTATCAAAGGGAATTAAAAAATCAACAGAATAATATGGATGGTGGATTTTATGATTGGATAAGGCTGTTGAGATCTTATAAATTGAATAGTAAAAATTAATTTTGGTACCACATTTGCAGGGTGCATATGCATGCCACTGGTGGTGATAACAGTGTGAAAAGAAAACTATGATCTAGTAAAATGCTCACTCTAGGGCAGTGCCGGAGCTAGAGAATTTAGGGCCCAGCAAAATGATGAACTGTGGCAAAACTATTTGTAGGTAATACAAATGTGATAGTCCTTACACGTTCAAAGTGGCCAGGCCTGTTTTCTTTCTTTATAGGGAGTAAAAATATCTACTCTTTGTTAATGTGAATAAAAAAAATATCATTAATATATTTTTAAGTTTTTATTTTCTACAAATGTTAAGACCTACCAGGCAGTCAAGCTGAGAAACAGGACTCTTGGAAGCAGGCTGACTTATATCCCAGACTTTGACACAACCTTTGCCACCAGTATACACATATTTGGTGGGATTGCTGATAGTTACAGCACAAACTACTTCACCGTGGCACAGAGTGTTTATCTGACGGGCATGTCTGGGAATTCCCGGTCCTATTAATGCATCAGTGGGGAAGGGTACAGGCTGCAATTGCCCTTCCCCATTCATGTGGAACGAATAAGCCCTAGAATAAGTAAAATAATATAAAGTACATAGTTGAACCTCAAACTCTTCAAACTATACCATAAGAAACTACTGTATTTACCCGAATATAAGTTGACCTCGAATATAAGATGATCCCCTAATTTTGATGAGACCTCCTGAGATTTTTTAAATTTTTGACTAATTCTTACTATTTAGTCAAAATAAAATTACAAAATTTCTTGTGTATACGTAAGCTTCAGCGGCTCGAATCCGTAAATTCTCGGCTATCCGGGAGACGCCGCGTCGTTGGCTGGGGTGCCGACGTTTCGCCTGACATGTCGCAGGCTTCCTCAGGGCAGTGACCGCACTACTCTTACAGTGACCTCACTGCCCTGAGGAAGCCTGCGACATGTCAGGCGAAATGTCGGCACCCCAGCCAACGACGCGGTGTCTCCCGGATAGCCGAGAATTTACAAAATATTCTTATAAATTTTTCAGCAATTTTCTGGTTAGGACGTGTTGAACTATTATTTTCTTGTTCCTTAATATCATCATAATTATGGTTTTTGTCACGACACTCATCATATTCATTTATCAATATTCCTTTCCTTCTTGGTCCTTCCATGTTGTGACGTTTTCTGACTTTTTTAGATCCCTCTTGTAAGTTTAGCGGACTAAATTTTGCATTGTTCCTATCATGTTTTGCGTTGTTTCATCACACACCATCTAAGAACATTCAATTCTATCGCCAGATTTTCTATAAGTCCCGCACTTGTTATGGCCGTAGTCTGTTCAAAACGTATTCGCGCGAGCCTCGTCGAACCCGCATTGTGTAACAAATTCGGCATTTATTTTCACATTACGTTTCATTTTTCCAATGCCATTCGGGTAGAGATTCTCTTTACCGTCCCATTAAAAAATATCGTTCTGAATTGCCCGACAAATTCGCGGTGGATGCCGAGAATACGAACGCGAATATAATTACGTATTGTTACGCGCGATATTTTTAGTCTTCGCAGTTTATTGTTATGTCAACATTTACAAATTTTGTAACATGGAATGGCAATGTAAAAACTTAAATTCTAACCGACTAGGCTTAATCTGCGAATACAAGACGTCCCCGCATTTATCGACAGAGATATTTTGGTACAAAAGAAAGGAAGAAGAAGAAAAAAAAAGAAAAGAAAAAAAAAACTCGTCTTATATTCGGATAAATACAGTAATAATATTGCTAAGTGTGTCAACATTATTTATGTCATGTCCAAATAAACAATGGGTAAAAAACAATGAAAAGTACAATGTTGAAACCCAAAATTTCAATGAATGTGGACTGTGACTTTTTTCCCTGCACCCATCTTATTAAAATGAACACTTCTTGTTGGCCAATTCAATTTTTGCACTATTTGCTTTTCAGTAAAAACTTCTTTTCTCCATGGAAAAAAATGAAGTTAATGAAATATTAGTTTATAAGTATTTTAATTGCAATGTAGTGAAGAATTTGTATTTTTTAGTAAGATATTAATTTTTCAGCAAAAATAAAGACATTACAGTAATAAATAGACATGCATAGGTATGCACATTTTGAAAAGGAGTCTGTAGTTTTACATAAAGAAACATTTTATCTTTGTAAAACTGTTCAACCCCTGATTTTTCCCCTTTGTACCCTGACAATATGGGGAATCGTTAGTGAGCTTTCGGGAAGAGTATGATATAGCCTCTAGCAATTCTATAAATGGGTCAACAAAAAAATTAAAAGCACCTAATTAGTTGTATTATTAAAGTTATAATTTAACCCTAGAAATATAAAACAAGGTGGGGGTAAGGAGCCACACTTCGTTTATAGTGCTTCATTTATCTTGATTCATGTGCTCTACATTATTGAGAATTAATGTGATTGTTAAAGTAATTTCACTCTTCATTTTTCACAAAAATTGCAGGTTTCTGCATTTCTTTTTATTTTAATTTTTTTGTTTTTTTTAAATAAAAAAAAATGTTTTTAGCAAGAGTTTGATTAACTCCACTTCATTAAAGATGTAGTGCTTTTAGAGTTTTTATTTCTCCCCTTTTGTCTACAGAGAAATTTTTTTGCCCTGGATGTGTTGTCAACATTCATACTTTATTGTATTGCCCCTGAACAGAATTGGAAGTAAGAGGTGACAATTTTTCAGTTGGTTGTTCACTCAAGATGTCAGATGAGTTGGCTGAATTGGAAACACAAGGAAGCTTTTAAAGGAGAGAATAATATATTAGATAGAGATTAAAAGTGGATTCATTGAAGAAATTTGTATTTCTAACTGTTCAGTAAATATAATACCTCTTAATAAAAAAAATATACAATTTTATTTTTTTCTTTCATTTGAATTACATGAGTGAGCCCCCTTAGGTATAAATGTTACCATTTAAACTGTCTAATTGCTAAGGTTAATTCTCCTTTCAAAGTGTCCGTGCTGATAATGGCAGTGATGATTGTCATTCATAAACTTACGGTTTTCCTCCTGGAATACCACCAATGCTACTGGAACCAAGGCCTGGAGTGCGTACATGAGGGTGAGAATCGTAACCCAGCTGAAGCAGAAACAAATGAAAAATTTTATGCATTTATGTTGATTTCAAGAAAATAGACTTAAGTGTTAATGATTAGTTAGGTCATATCCCCATGCAGAGCTGGTAAGCAGCAACAAAGGTTGAAGTCTTGGAGCAGGGCACAGGCACGTTGCCAGAGGGGTGGGCTGCACATGGGAACAAAAAGAAACAACTAAACATGCAAGGTAGAAGGAATCTGCCGAGAATATTTAATAATTTGGTTATCTGCTTGTAATTTACGAGAGAAAAAAATAACAACAATAATAGCATGCTTTGGCTTCTATTACTTGTTACTACTTTTAAAAATTGTAACAAATTTTGTTCTCCAAAAGTCTGTAAATTTTGGATTTTGCCTCTTTATAACAGAATAGGGCATTGCATTTAAAGTGCCACCTCCAGTTACAGTAAGATAACATTTTAAGCAGACTGGTTCTTCACTACAAGTTGATTGCACTATCAATATCCAAAAATAAAACAATTCTAAGGAACATTTTATTTACAAACACCAATGGCCCAGTCCCCAGAATGTTCTGGTCACGTGCCTGCTTGGGCCAGAGGTTGTTTGCATACCATGGGGGGCCGGGAGTAGGGCGAGGAGGTGACGCTGTTGTAAGGGCTGTTATCAGTGCTGCGGGAGCCCCCAATGGCCCCAAGGGAGAACGGCGGGTACGGGCCCCCAGGCAGCACTCCCGGCATGGAAACTGCCTTGAGGCCACTGGAGCCCGGGAGGCCTGCGGAGCCAGTCGGGGTGGTGGCCTTGGAGACAGGGGTAGAGGGCTTGTCAGCCTGCAACCAGCACATCGCCACGGTCCACAAGCATTCCAAGGCATGGTTTTACAGAAAACACCACATCAATGTTAGGCAATGGGATACCCAACATGGAGTGTTGCAAGAGTTTTGATAAGAAAAAAAATGTTCACGACTACTTGACATAAAATGAACTGGAGTTCTTTTCAACGTACAATTAAAGTATCAATTCTTTCAAGAATCCTAAATTATTATTATTACTTATTATTATTATTATTAATGTCTTATTATTTTTATTATTTTATATTCTTGATATTTATTACTCTTACGTTACTACTCTCTGGATTACGTGATCTTAAAATTGTAGTTATTCACATTATCACAATTGATTAAAAATACCATAAAGAAAGTTGAAGAAAAGTACTTAAGTAAGTGGTAAAGAAGTTGCTTGTTATGGAGTTGAGATATAAAATGAACTGGAGTCCTTTTCAACGTACAATTAGAGTATGAATTCTTTCAAGAACCCTAAATGATTATTACTCTGAAGCATTAAGTGATTTAAAAATTTGTAGTAAGTGTACACATACTCCAATTGATTCATTTAAAACTTACCATAAAGAAAGTTGGAAAAATGAAAGAAAGTACTTAAGTAAGTGGTAAGGAAGTTGACTGTTATGAAGTATTAATGACAAATAAATCCTGGTAAATCCTGACAAATAAAACTCAACTAAAAATCTACTTCTCTTTTGATTTTCAATGCATGGTCAGTTTTAGTATTTTTTACATTTTTGTGCAATGAAAAGTTTATAGAGAAAATGCAAATCATTTCTCATTGAAGCCTCTATAATTTTTCTTAGCAACAATTTGCAACACCTTTTAATAGTTTGAAGGAATCAAGTTCAACAGAATTTCAAAGGTACAGACATTGACACAATTAAAGAAAGTCATTTAATTATTATTATTATCATTATCATCATCATTATTATATATGTCTTACCTTCATACTTGATCACTCTCTTTCACAAGCTATATTATTTTATAAAAAAAATGTACCAATGAAATGCTGTTAAGTAGTAAGTTTTGAAAATTATGATTTGAGTCTCTGCAAACAAATTTGGCAAGCAAAGGATGGAAAGGATAAGAAACACAAATTACACACCAAATTTACTTTATTAATGTTCACCAATTTCCAACACAATCCCACGGAAATATTTACATTAAAACTTTCTAGGATTTTACCCACACAGAATTGTTAGATGTATATTATCTACAACCAAACATCCAAACATACACACACCACAATATGACACCTCATCCCCATTAAGAATATTACAGAAACATGCACCATTAAGCCAATGTGTACTCCCTAAACATCTGGAAAACAAAGTTAAAAGGTGTAAAAAAAAAATAATAATAATAAAAATAAAAAAGAATTTGTTTGGCATTCGAAGATTGGTATGAATGTGTAACAGAGCAAAATGTCAATGGCAGATCATGGAATGGGGCACAGAGTTGGAATGGTTACATAGTGTTAGATCAACAAATGTTTACTACTACTGTAATTTATACACACACAAACAATTGCCCCTCTCTTTACTTTTAGAAAAATATGCTTTGTCCTGTAGTCCTGGATAGAACTGTCAAGGAGTTATTTTAGGGTGAATTCAATCTCAATCACAGATTTCCTGTAACCTTAAAGCAAATGCAACAGTCCCTTGCTTTTATGTAATGATGGTAGAGTAGTTTTAGTTTCTTCTATCTCCTTCACATGTAACCCCCTTAATTTTTATAAAAATATTATGAGTTATTTAAAGTTAATTAATACTTCCAAGCAAGATGAAGGAACCAAACTGGCAGCCAATTTTTCAATCCACACGACAATGACAACTTCACATTCGAGGTACTCACAATTTCTGCTACAGCAGGAGATGTCTGTTGTACAGTAAAACTTGCTCAATGCAGTACCTCAATGAACCAGTATTTTTTCCACAAGAAGATTCCACATTATATAATGTAATACACTAGAATGTATGTTTATGTCTACATTGCACAGATTTCCAAATTATACACATTCTGCATTGAGCAATTTTTATATCTAAAAATATAGGGAATTCTAATGATCAATCATGTTCTCCAAGTTAGTAAATTAAATGAGGGGAGTGACTAGTGTATTTTGCAACACAAGGTGGCTCTTATATGCCTTGGAGTTGCATTCAAAGATTGACATGGATCTTCCTAAAATTATTCTCAAATAGAATGCTGCCCTTCCCCTTGAGGTTTCTCGTGATGAAAAATGGATATAAATGAATTCATATAAAAATGTTTATAATTCAATTATGAGTTTATAAGTTTGTGTCTGAAGATCATTAAGGAAGTAAATCACAAGGATGGAGTAATCACATTGTTTACACAACTACTCCCTTTTTCCGTAATGGATCAAGAAACCACTTTCCCCAAATAATTCCCATACGCCATTTCAAACAAATGTAAAAATTCATGAGTATTGAACAAAATAAAAAGGTTTTATTTTGAGATCTTTACCACCAGTATTGGCTAATTCTAGAGTAACTAAGAATGGGAGATGTTTTAAGCTCTAATCATATTCTGAATATGATTTTAAAAGAGTTTATATTGACAATCGATTAGAAAATTGCAAAATATGCCTATTCCAATTTAAACCATTAGAAAATTAACAAAAACAAAACATTGCAGAATAAATTGGATTTTTTCCCCTTCTCTAAATTTAGAACAGTGTTTGATCTGGTCAGGTAGGATCCCTAATCCATGATCTAATCCAAAACATCGAAGAGAGAAGACAAATTGGTATGATTTTTATCTTCATTAAAGATAAGTGACACTTTTACAAATCAATTGCATTTCATTAATTACAATCAATCAAAATCAATTGATTGGCGGGTCTCATGAAGGATGATGGTCTATGAACTCAGCATTGACAGATCCATGGCAACACATTTGATCAGTGGTGGTGTCTACGGAAATGCTCACGTGTCTTGTACAAGTTAATTGCATGAAGTCAAAACTCATTACATTAAACAACTGCAATACAAATTTCTTCAACTTCAAAAGCTTTTATATATAATAAATAATCTAATAAATATAATAATCTAATAAATAATAATCTAAATAATTTGAAGGTGAGATTATGCATCTCGTCTAATTCGAAAATTTTCGATCAAATGTCATTTAAAATGGGTGCGGATCCAGAAAGTATTTCAGGGTCAAGAAAGGCCTATTTTCGGTTCCCCTTGCCCCATTAATTTGAACTTGAACAAATGTAGATTTGTAGGCGGTAGAGGGGGGGGGGCGTCGTCCCCATTGTCCCTCGTGGTTCCGCTTCTATTTGGAAATGTCTTAATCTTTGACTGAATGTACTGTCATAAAGGAAATTTCACCTACGGACCTTCTTAATTTTCAGCTAGCCCGGCAAAAAGTAATAGAAGAGAGAAGTGAAATGACGAGAATACAGGGCTGTGATTTGAACTTGTAAATATACCAATCATCAACACCTCATTGAAATCTACTCAAATTTTAGAAAATTAAATGTGAACCTCATAAACGATTTACCAAAATCTTCTTCACACTTCCTCATTAACTTGAAAAACTTGCTGCAACAAAACTATTCCACTTTAGAACTACCCGCATTTTAAACGTGATTTCACGACCACATTTCTGCAGACTCGTCATGGTCCACTATTGGTTAAGGTAGAGCGAGACACTTGCAATTCGCTAAGGCAAGTTAATGGATACCAGCCGTCGGAATGCACGGTCAAGAGATGCGAGTGCGCGATGTTCATATGGGCCGTCATTATCTTGGTGCAACCATGGACCCTCATGAAATACATAACGTTGCGTCTGTACAAGTGTGAATCTCAAAATTATTCTGATCATAAAAAGAATCAATGCATTCCCTCTAGATTTAATTGATTTGAATTGGTTTGGACCGGATCGGATTAATTAATTTGAATTGGATTATGGGATCAGTCCATTCTGAAATGTCAAATGCTGCCGTTTTCTAGGGCGCGCAGCTGTCAAATCTTGAGCGAGGCAGGGCGACGGGGTGGGGTGTGGGCGG